GTTGGGTTTCCATGGATTGGGTTTTAACTTTGAGTTTCCAGAGTTTGGATTTTCATTTTGGGTTTCCAGGGCTTGGATTTTAACTTTGTGTTACCAGGGTTTGGGTTCTAACCCCTCGTTTCCATGGTTTGGGTTCTAACCTTGGAATTCCATTCTTTGGATTCTAACCTTGCCTTTAGATTCCAACCACCAGCTTCCTGGTGGCTTCCCAAGGGACGCTCTGATTCCCTAGGGGCTGAAGCCCAGGGTTTTATCTTCCCTGAGGGCCTGAAACCTGTGGAATCCCAACCTCGGGGTCTGTAACTGTCACTTAGGATAGGAGGAGATTCCAAGTGGGAAGTGAGGGCCCTATCTGCTCAGGGTTACCATGGAAACGCTCCCTGAGCTGCAGCCTCTTCCCAGTGCTGGAGGGTGGCTCCTGACTTGTGGCAATAGAGAAAAAGTTGCTTTTTGAAGTATTTTAGCCTTGTTTGAAACAAGGCGAAAGGAAAAAAAATAACAAAGCGGCTGTGAGAGACTCAGTGGGGTTTGGGTCTGGGAATGTGGATTCCATGGGGAGAAGGGAAGAAGATGCTCCAACCCAGCCGAGCATCCCAAGGGGAGCAGGAAATCTGGGGAATGTTCTTCAAAGAGCCTTTCTTCTGCAAACCCTGGGGAGGGTTTGGATGTTGGAGAGGAAGACAAACCTCAGGCTTTGAGACTTTGAATCCCTATTTGAGCATAAAGGAGCACTGGGGGGGTAGCTGCTGGCTGGAAAACTGGATGGAGAAGTGGGAAAGTTCACAGCTGGCTGATAAAACTCCTTGGTTTGAACAGCCAGGGCTTTTCCCAGAGCTTGAGTTGGGGTGGAGAAGGAGACGAGAAGGTTCCAGGGAGACCTTAGAGCAGCTTCCAGTGCCTGAAGGGGCTCCAGGAAAGCTGGGGAGGGACTTGGGACAAGGGCAGGGAGGGATGGGATGAAGGGGAGGGATGAAAACTGGCAGAGGGAGCTGGAGCTTGGAGATGAGGAGGGAATTCTTTGGTGTGAGGGTGGTGAGAGCCTGGCCCAGGTTGGGCAGGGAAGCTGTGGCTGCCCCATCCCTGGGGGTGTTGAAGGGCAGGTTGGATGGGGCTTGGAGCAGCCTGGGCTGGTGGGAGGTGTCCCTGCCCATGCAGGGGGGGTGGGATCGAGATCATAAAGGTCCTTCCAACCCATCCCATGATTCTATTATTTCTGGAGCATGGAAACATCCCCAAATCCCCCTTCCTGATTTTGGAAGTTTCATTGAGTGAGATTTTCTCCTGATAAAGTCCCCAGAGAGCAGACAGTGTCACACCTAGTGCTCCACAGCCTTTCTGGACACATGTCCAAGTCATCCCAAAAAACTTGAGCCAGCCCTTCCAAAGCCTCTCCAGGTTTGCTGCTCTGCTCAGTTTTCTTGACTCCAAATTATTTTCCCCATGCCATGATTTTTTTTTTTTTCCAATATATGTATTTAAACCAGGGCTGGTGGAGCTCAGGGTGTTAATCCTGACTCTTGGATGGTCCCAAGTCTTATTTCAAGGATTTAAACAATTAGTATCACCGCAGTCTCTGGGGAATCACTGGATCCCATTGATTTCCTTCAGGTGGATTCAGGTGATCCTACCACAACCCACCTTCAGGCCATTCTCCTTTCCAACTGGCTTCCAAATTTTGGGGTTTCAAACTTCCCCTGCAACATCATTTTCATTAAATTCCTGATTTTTGGAGCTCCCAGATGATTTTTCTGCTCTGGAGCGGGAAGGGAATTGCTCTTGTATCCCACAAATTCCTACATTCAGGGACAGTGTCCTCACCTGGAATCAGACCGTTCTCCCAGAAAGGTGGTTTTGGGGCTGGTTTCCCCCCATTTGGCATCTTCTTTTGAAAATAATGGGAATAGTAGGAAGAGGAGACTCTGCCAAGGCAAAAATGATCTCGATCCCTCTTGTCCCCTTGGATTTGCCTCGTTTGGGGTTATTGGAGAGGCCATTGGTGGTGACAGAGGAGTGTGTTCTCCTCTAGATTAGAGCACAGCAGGGCTGAAAGTTAATTAAGCTTAATTAACAGGGGGGTTTCTCTCTTGCAGGCTGGAGGGAAGGCAGGGAAGGACAGTGGGAAGGCCAAGGCCAAGGCGGTGTCGCGCTCCCAGAGGGCAGGGTTGCAGGTACCACACCAGCCACTTCCCTCATCCCATCCTCCCTGAGGAAGACTCCACTTTGGGGACACCCCAGAGCCCCTTTTTGGGAATGGCTCGAGTTGAAATGAGCCTAATTAAGTCTGGGGGTGTTAATGAGGTGTTGATTGCTCCCATCCCAGTTCCCTGTTGGCCGCATCCACCGGCACCTAAAGACCCGGACTACCAGCCACGGGCGAGTGGGCGCCACTGCTGCTGTGTACAGCGCTGCCATCCTGGAGTACCTGACTGCCGAGGTGGGTGTCCCCTTTCCAGCCCTTCCAGCCAAATCCCTTCCCAACAATCCTTGCCCTGGGAATGCTGAGTGTCTTGCCGGTGTCCCGGTAGGTGTTGGAGTTGGCGGGGAACGCATCAAAGGACTTGAAGGTCAAGCGGATCACGCCCCGTCACCTGCAGCTGGCCATCCGTGGGGATGAGGAGCTGGACTCTCTGATCAAAGCCACCATTGCTGGAGGAGGTGGGTGTCACCCCCCTCACCTCCCTGCCCCTAACTGGGAATTTTGGCTGAGGGAGGCTGTGAAATATGGGGAGAGTAACTCAGGAGATTCTTGGTGGTTGATGGTGGAGGTTCAATGTGTGATGTGCAGAGCTGGGGGAAGACTGCTGGGAATAGAGGATTTCTGGGAGTTTTTTGGGAAGTCTGGGAGGGACTGAAGGGAATCCTCTCCTCTCCTTGGGGATCTGAGAGAAATCCTCCTCTTTCCATGAGGATCTGAAGGGAATTCTCTTCTGCTTTGCACATGGATCTGAAGGGGGATCCTCCCCTTTGGAAGGACTTAAAGGGGGATCCTCTTCTTTCCATGGGGATCTAAGAGGAATCTCTCCACGTGGATCTGAGAGGAATCTTCCTCTCCACTTGCATAAGAGTGGAATCCTGCACTTTGGAATGGCCTGAAGGGGATCCTCTTCTTTCCATGGGGATTTGGGAGGAATCCTCCTCTCTGTGTTGGATCCAAGAGGAATCCTCTGCACATGGATCTGAGAGGAATCCTCCTCCCTTCCATTTGGATCTGAGGGGAATCCTCTGCTTCCCCCGGGAATCCGAGGGGAATCCTCCTCTCTGCAGATCCCAGAGGAATCCTCACCCCGTGGATCTAAGAGAAATCCTGATCTTCTCTCCACAGGCGTCATCCCCCACATCCATAAATCCCTGATTGGAAAGAAAGGACAACAAAAAACAGCATAGGGAGGAGAGGGGAGAGCGACCGGCCCCCTCCCCATCATCTGGGACAGCAGAAAGTGAGGGGACCCATGGAAATTTTTTTTTTTTCTAAAGGAATAGTTTAAAGGAAGATCATAGGCTGTAGA